ATAAGAGATTTAATCAAGAATGCATGACGGAAACAATCTGTTTTAAAATTTCTGTGTATTACTTGTCTGGTGAAGAAGAGAATTACCTATGTAAAGATACTGCTTGCAGCCAATGATGCATGAATAAGATGATGTTATGGGGTAGGACTGGATAAGTCTGACTTCTTCCTACTCCATTCAAACATGTACTAGGTATAAGCAAACTGATTCTGGATTAGTATTGGTTGGATTTGTGTAATTATGTGTGTGTTGATGTCATTGTTCTGCATGTTTGAAAGAATAAATCAAATCAAATCAAATCAAGATAGTCCTAAATCATATCCTGGCACCCCAACATCACTACCAAATAAGCAGAATACTATACATTCGCTATAAAGTGTTCAAAGACTATTGTTAAGTCACTCACCTTGACAGCATCAGTGCCTCCAACCCAGGTTTGTTTATTTGTGCCAGCTGAGGTTTTAATCAAACCTTTCACAAAGTTGTAGTGGTCTTCGGTGTGGATGGAGGCCAGATTCCCACCAACAGCAACGCAGGCAACCTGATGGAGCAAAGTGTGAAGCCAAGACAAAAGGAACAAACTAGAAATGAGTACAGGAAGCAGGAGTGTTGAGTTTGAATGAAGTGCAGAGACAAAGGCCATTTCATATCAGGATGAACATTTTAACAAGCACACCCTCACAGCTACTTCCATTTTATTGTTAACTGTAGTGAACCATAATACATTCAGCTGACCATTTCTCTATCCCAATGACATGAGGGTCAGAACTGGGGGGGATGCACCAATGCTGATGCCAGTTTGGGTCCAACACTACTGAAAATCAATCAGCTACACATTTAAATAGCCATGGTGACAGAACTGTTTGTCTCAACTAGTCTGCACAGCCTCCTGTTCCACAAGATATTCCATTTATCCAAGTGGACATGTCAAATTAAGCCATCTCTCTAATCACAACACTTTATAGGGAAAACAGTCCAACATCTATTTCGACTTGTCTGAAAGTGGTATTGGTGCAGCCCTAGTCAATATAATTTAGTCTCATACACCACCACCTTAAACTATAACCTCAACCATAAGCTACACATTTAGGACCATTGCACCAAAACCTGAAACCAACTTGAACAGGTCAGGGTGCAAATGTTGCAGACAATTCTACCTAATCAAGTGGCCAGTGATTGAGCAAAAACTGTTCCACCCAGTAAAAGTGCAGCAACTTATTTACATTTATTTTTGATAAATAGAATCTTTAATAGACTATGCAAAGTATCTCTAACAGTGCTGTCACCATTCCTACTGATCATGCAACTGATTTTCCTGTAGCCTACTAGACAGGATGGAGTGGATTATCAGCATTTCAAACTCTGTATTTTAGTGCAGTACACCACTACCTTTCACCATTACCACAACCATGAACTACTCAAAACAATGTCACCAAAAACTGAAACAAACTTCATAAACAAATGTTAAAGCACAAGTGCTGCATTGAATTACATGGTGTACCTCATAAAGTCGCACTGAACGTGTACCATGAAGAGGACGTTATGCTTCCACCCAGTACTGTACCTCTGCATCAGCCCAGTCCTTTTCATTGAGGTTGAACTTTTAACAGTAGTCATCACGCTGGGACCATCCCTTAGGGCATCTCTTACCTACACAACAGCCTGGTGTGAAAGGGGGCAGGGAGAAATTAAGCCATTTTGACATTTCTGAGTGCAAGTGGAGAAACACAGGTGTTACTGATGACACCGTCCTGCCGCTGTTGTCCTCCCCGCAGGTCACCGTAGCAGTGATCTTGGTGCCAGCCAGATTGAAGTAGGGCGAGTGCAGGCTGTAACCGTTCAACCCCGTTGGTCGGCAGCTCCTGAGCTGACATCAAGAAGCAGCAGGTCAGTAAGAGCGGCCAGAACAGAAGTAACGCGATCCGCGTCTGTATGCGCCGAGTCGGGGAGAGCGCAGCATCGAGCGGTGCCGCTCCGCTCGCCATCATCTCCACCTGTCCGCTTGGTCCGCTCC